GACCTGACCAACAGGTCCACACAGAACAATGTTCTTTCACTCTGCCTGTGCATCTTTTGCCAGCTGTCGAGACTGGATGGTTGCAGGTGTCCCCTCTTGATGGGATTGGTGAGTTGATCCCAAACATGATTTATATTGAATTCAGATCACGAGGAAAAAAACTGCATGAGGTCTGGAGCTCCTGACTGCTGACTTGCTCTGTTTTGAGCCACTTCACCTGTTTTAACTGGAACCAAACTGAATTCTGTTAACTTAAAAAGAAGTTCACAAGAAAATGCTCAGAAAGATTACACAAATCATTGTGTCGCTGAAAACTGAAGAACGGTGGCTTAATTATTAATGACACTACAGGAGAGTCTTCACAGAGAGTGTTTTGGTGTGATTAAATCTCCAAACTGACACAATGAGAGACACAATAAAAAAGCTTCATGGGAAGAAATGCAAGCAGTCACCACAGCAGAATACCTTAGTTCCTGTCTAATATAATGAGAAAGCCTTTTCTCGGCCTTGCTTCTGTACGTGTGACATAAGGGGTGGTAAAGTTTGGTGTCTGTCTCTCTCTTTGTGGCTTTACTATTGTTCCTGCACACAGACAGTGCTAGAATTTTTTTTTTCTCAAGGAAAGTTGTAGTGATGTAAAAAAAGATAGAAACCCACTTCCCATGTTGAATTCATGTATTTACTTTAAAGTATTCGCAGTGTGTGCAACCGTGCTTTTGTTAACACTGTAACATTGAGCAGTTACAGTTACTAGTGTTACTAGTAATATTATCAGCACCCACAGAAAACGTGCGATCGCTCTTCTGGACCAAGACTGAATTATCTCCTGTCATGGTCCAACACCTGCTATTTTGTAGAAAATATTTTTCCGTCTCAGAGCAGTGACATCTGCATTGTTATGATGGTTGTCTTTTATTTATTTAGCGTCTGTAGGTGGATAAGCTTGTGCTCTGCTTACGATGTTCTAAATTTGAGCTAAAAAAATCCAATTTTATGTACTTTTTCTATTTCAAAACGGCAGAGAACCCTTACGAGTTCTTTACATTACTGAAAAGCAAGGTCACTCAAACAACTGATAAAAAGCTACAATATGAGCCTAGAAACGTGAGGTGTGATGTTCCAGCACACCAGTTCTTGCTGAGAAGCTGCTCACCTGGACTGAAGCAAAAGAATTCAATGACTACAACATCCTACAGGGGAGTGGTATCGACTTCAGGCACACGGCGAGAGCTCAGATCTTTCATTTCAGATTGTTTGTGCCTTCGCGATGTAGAATTTACACCTGTGCTCTACGGTTCACTCCTCGTTTCATGAGTTGAAAATGTGGGCAGAAGCAAGGCTACAGATTCGTGGTAAAACCGAGACCGTGAGATAGGACACGGGCCTGCTCGGCCTCCAGTCACCCACTCTGTGGTGTACCTTTCATCTGAAGCCAGGCAGAGTCAAGAACAATAACGTTTTTCATCTTCTGGAACCTACCTCTACATCCTCTTTTGATAAACAAATTACACGGCCTGAATACCAGTAAACCCAGGCAGGTGAGGGCCTGAGAACAGAGTTTCCTATCCTGTCACATTGGTACAGTATATTGTGGGTCAGTCTACCAATCTGGACTTAAACATTCCTCGCGTACAACAACATTTTTTTAATACAGTTTCACCAGTTATTGTCCTCCTTGTAAGTGACAATTGATATTCGACCCAGCTTGGCTGTAACACAGCCAGAAAATGAAGGCATACAGTACCTGTAAGTGTAGTATGAAGAATCAAAGACGTGTAGTTTGTTTGCTAGATCGATTAATAATAATAATTAATAATTGCTTACACTTATATAGCGCTTTTCTGGACACTCCACTCAAAGCAAAGCATGGGTGTTACTCTGTGAACACGGGGCCACACTGTGGGCACTCTGGAATCAGTGTTATCCATCTAACCAGGTGTGACGTAGTTGGCATCAAGGTTTGTAGGGACAGCCCTACAATAAATTGGATTTAGGACCTCTGAATAAAAAACTGCCCCCTCAGTATTGCCCCTCACTATACAATTGGGTACAACAGGGCAATTTATCTGGTATTCATGCGGTTTAGGTTCCAACAGCACGTGACAAGCTTGCCAGGAAGTCTCATTGTGATCAGGAGTACAATGAGTTAGGTAATTTAGAAATGAATCTGAACTGTTCCATATCAGCCCATACTGAGCTGTATCTAACGAGACTGGGAAAGATGCCTGGCCTCGGTTTTGATCGGATTGGCTAAACAGATCATCACACAGAGAAATGCAAATCTTAGGTAGGTATTAATGCTGTCGAGCAATGACACTTGTGGTATCGAGCCTGTTTCCTGAAAGTCTGGGCTGTACTGGGTCTGGGTATGTTCTGTCCGAACAGTGAACAGATCATTCTAAATATGGGAGAACAAAAAGTGTAATTGTGAAGTAACGTTTAAAAACCAAAGAAAATGGGTGCGGAGTGGCTTCTTATTAGAGAGCAAGAGTATTCTTCTTTTTAGAGATTACAGCATGCAGCAGAAATACATTCCTCAATACAAGTTAGAAATGACCATAAGTACCTTATTTTAGGCACAACCTTAGACAACACCTTAGGAACAAGAAAGCTCTTGGCACCCCTCTACCATTATTTTAATCTAAAGACAGGACGACATCGCGAACGTGCTGGAAATGGAAGATGGAAAGTCTCCAAGCTGTATTGCATTCATGGGCTGGTGATGCCAGGCTGTTAGCGACCCAGATGGAGGACATAACCCTCACTGAAAGTTCAAAGCCCCCTATGTCGCTCCCTGAAGAGCTGATTCTAACTGCTGCCAGCAGAAAACCATTATAACATGCTATTGGCAGCACGGACCGCACAGAAAAAAAAGACTCATTCCAGTTTACAGAATCCGATCGTGTCCGTTCGTTCTATCACAAAGACAAGCACTAGTATTAAATGGTAATGCTAATTCTATACTAATACTAATTCTAAGCAATAGTAATAAATGTGCATAGCCACAACTCCTTATCTGAAAAGGCTAGTTATTTCCATTTACCAATACATATTAAACTTTGATCTGTGTGATTGTACAGCAAGCTATGAAAAAACAATAAGAAAGAACAAAAAGTTCTTGCAAATATTAGCACACTTATTGCTTCTGAAGACACTTGTTACCTTAAAAGAATTAGATCCCTGAAAATTTAAAGTATCTTGTGAATGGTTAGATTTTATTTCTATTTTACAGATTCGTTTATTAGATCACTTTATTGGCCATATACAATTTCTTGTATAAGGAATTTGTCTTTTCGCATACCCCAGCTTGCTCTCCATGAGACACACAGACAGGGAGAGAAGCTGGGGGTCAGAGCGCAGAGTCAGCCATTTATACGGCGCCCCTGGAGCAGATGGGGTTAAGGGCCTTGCTCAGGGGCCCAACAGAGTAGGATTCCTCTGCCGGCAGCAGGATACGAACCAGCAACCTACCAACCACAGGCACAGAGCCACTTATTGAGGTTTGTGGTATAGTATTACCTTACATTACTTGATTATACCTTCAACATATAGTTGTCCCTCTGGTACTTTTAGTATGCCTCCCATCAGCATGTCTTTGACGTTTGTAAATGTTCTGAAATGGATACAATGAATAAAGATTGGCTTTCTGCTGAGAACTGAATGGCCGAACAAGCAGTTTTACACTGCCATTCAATTTGCCATGTTTTAGCGACAAATTGTGTTGCGGATTAGTATGGATGGTCACAGAGATGACTTTGAATTGAAGATTTTAATCCACTTAAAACTCCACATGAGGACACTTTAAGCCCTGTTGCATATAAAAATAAATTAAAATCACACTACATTTTTAGATCAATTTAATCTGTCCTTTACTGATTTTATAATCCAAAAATCTATTTTCTCAAAACATAATTAAAGCATGTGACTGAAGCCGATAGTTTGTCTTTTTTCCCAAACACTGGCTAGATGAGATCGTTGGATCAATAAACTACACATTTCTAATAATCCCCCTCTCTAAACTGGCTTCGTCACTCTGCTCTCCTCCCCACTGAGAGCTGGTGTGTGGGGAGAGTACTGGTGCATCATCCAGGTGGGGCTGCACACTGCTGGGGGTGGAGGGGATCCCCATTACCTGTAAAGCACTTTGAGTGGAGTGTCCAGAAAAGCACTATATAAGTGTAAGCAATTATTATTATTAT